ATACAAGTTTCCTATTTGGTGCAGCCGACGTCGTATTACCGTTAGTGTCATTGCTGCATCGATAGTAGTTCTGAGTTCACAATTTGTATCATCAATTGCTCTCAGAGTGCCTGTGAAATATTTTGAAGCTGCCGCTGTTTGTTTGAATGCAAATACCTCTGCAGGAATGAACGTTTCCCTTCTTCTAATCTGTGACGTAATTCCGGTGGTTATAATGATGTGCATTTACTATCGCATCATTAAGATCAGCCGAGAGCATGAGAAACGAATCAACCAGAACGATCCCAACAACAAAAACAACATCCAGGACAACAAAGCTCTGAAGATGTTTGTCGTCGTCACTCTGGCTTTCGCTGTCTGTTACACTCCACTCCTGATTGAGCGAACTGTTGAGTCTTTCACTAAGAAGGAAATTGCAGCCTGGCCAAAATTTGCTATCACCTGGCTCTACGACATTAACAGTGTCTGCAATGTCTTCATCTATTGTCTATTCAATCGCTCATTCCGTGACAGGGCTAAGAAAATCATCCTGAACAGATTACCCTGTTGCAAAAGGTCAGTTGAACCTATGAACATTCAAGTTTAAAAGTCAAATTCTTCAGCAGCAAATCGACCGAAGGTAAAAAAAAAAAATGGAATGTAATTAAAAGTGTGCACTAATTCTGGATAAAAAAACAACTTGATTTCATTTGGATGAGCTTGTGTTGAGTAAGACAATGGTGATAAATCCTGACAACACAACACGACCAAGTAAATCTTGGTACAGAAGTATTTTTCTTGATTTACCAAAGTTTGTTAAAAAAAAGAAAGAAGTGAAGTTGTAGTTTTAGCAAATGAAGACTTATAACAAAATGTATTTGTGTTTATTGTTGAGTCAATATGTCACGCAGTGTTTCGAAGTCACAGTGTATTGATGTTTAAGGCACATGTAGAATGGACAAATATTAATGCATATATTTTTGTGTGTCTGAATTAGCAGTTTAAGATATAACTCAGAAAGAAAAACAGATTTTGGTTTTAAAATTTTTGCAGATGAAAGTTTGATTAGTAACTTACAAAATGAATTGTTTGCAGCTTGATGTTGTTTGTTCTAATCATTGGAAGTAATCAGGGGGTATTTTAAAATCAGTTGAACACCAGTTATTGTGTTCAGGTCTTTGTTATTGTTACAATACGCTTTGTATCTCTAGACCTTATCTGAAACATTTTCTTTAAAAGTTTATAAATCAAGGGCTTAACTGCATTCTATTTTTTATGAAGAAACTCTCTCAAAGAAATGAAGGGACGATAAGGTTGTGATATCATGTGTCAGTACAGTAACGAATGACAAGTATTGTACACAAATTGCACAAACTTGTCAACGTCATTATAACTATTATCGATCTATCCGAACAAAAGCAGACTTGACTTTACCAGGGCAATCAAAATTGCATTAAGGTGGTAGGCATTATTAGACAACTTCATATCCTATTTTGTCAATCACTTCAGGTTAAGTATTGCGTTGCATTAAAAGCCAAACTTGAAGTTGATCAACGAAGCAATTAAAATTGCATTATCAGTGACATGCATATGACAGGCTGATTGCTTAAAAGCCTAGACTGGTAATTTTTAATATAAGGCCATTAGATCCAGCGTTATGTAGTTCAGTTGGCAAAATGCTCCACCAGGTACAGCACAAGGGATTCTTATTCCAACAAAACAGAATCATAAGGATTCTGCGCCCGAATATTCATCACAGACCTAGATGGTGAGAGAAGCTTTCACAGTCTTGTTACTGCCATGGACATGAATTGATGGTGACTCTACCCAAGTATTTTCTATCAAAAACAATTTTCCTTTCAGCTTGGGAGTATTAAGACCGGCTACCCATTCAACTGCTTGATATACAGACTGCTTCTATACTCCATCTGAAGTCAACTTTAACTGCAATTTCGTTGGAAGGATTCACTCTCTGGAAAAATGAATGATTCATCCACAGATCCTTTGGGCGTGTCCCCGTTCTTTGTCGCTTTCCGTACTTGTTTCATCAGTTTCCTTGGATTGTTGATCATAGCTGGAAACATTCTTTCCATTGTCGTGACTCGTCGGGTACCAGACTTGGCAGACAGTACTAAGATCTTGATGACATCTTTGGCAGTAGCTGACCTCACAGTTGGCTGTTTGACAGCATTTGGTGTCGTAGCTTCGGCTATGAACCACTGGCCCTTCGGTGATGTTGGTTGTCAGGCTTATGTCTACATGACAACAGTAGCCGCACTTGTATCAGAATTTTCACTGATCTCTTTAAATGTTGAGCGCTACATTGCCGTTACCAGGCCGTACAAGTTTCCTATTTGGTGCAGCCGACGCCGAATTATCGTTAGTGTCATTGCTGCGTCAATAGTAGCTCTGAGTTTACAAGTTTTATTATTAACTGCTCTCGGAGAGCCTGTGAAATATTTTGAAGCTGCCGCTGTCTGTTTTTATGCAAATACCTCTGCAGGATTAAACGTTTTCATTCTTCTAACCTTTGATGTAATTCCGGTGTTTATAATGATGTGCATTTACTATCGCATCATTAAGATCAGCCGAGAGCATGAGAAACGAATCAACCAGAACGATCCCAACAACAAAAACAACATCCAGGACAACAAAGCTCTGAAGATGTTTGTCGTCGTCACTCTGGCTTTCGCTGTCTGTTACACTCCACTCCTGATTGAGCGAACTGTTGAGTCTTTCACTAAGAAGGAAATTGCAGCCTGGCCAAAATTTGCTATCACCTGGCTCTACGACATTAACAGTGTCTGCAATGTGTTCATCTATTGTCTATTCAATCGCTCATTCCGTGACAGGGCTAAGAAAATCATCCTGAACAGATTACCCTGTTGCAAAAGGTCAGTTGAACCTATGAACATTCAAGTTTAAATGTCAAATTCTTCAGTAGCAAATTGACCGAAGGTAAAAAAAAAATTGAATGTAATTAAAAGTGTGCACTGATTCTGAATAAAAAAAAAAAACACTTGATTTCATTTGGATGAGCTTGTGTTGGGTAAGACAATTGTGATAAATCCTGACAACACAACATGACCAAGAAAATCTTGGTACAGAAGTATTTTTCTTGATTTACCAAAGTTTTGTTTAAAAAAAAAAGTGAAGTTGTAGTTTTAGCAAATGAAGACTTATGACAAAATGTATTTGTGTTTATTGTTGAGTCAATATGTCACGCAGTGTTTCGAAGTCACAGTGTATTGATGTTTAAGGCACATGTAGAATGGACAAATATTAATGCAAATATAGATTTGTGTGTGTCTGAAGTAAGCATTTTAAGATATAACTCAGAAAGAAAAACAGATTTTTGTTTTAAAATGTGGGCAGATGAAAGTTTGATTAGTAACTTAAAAAATGAATTATTTGCAGCTTGATGTTGTTTGTTCTTATCATCGGAAGTAATCAGGGGGTATTTTAAGATCAATTGAACACCAGTTATTGTGTTCAGGTCTTTGTTATTGTTACAATACGCTTTGTATCTCTAGACCTTATCTGAAACATTTTCTTTAAAAGTTTATAAATCAAGGGCTTAACTGCATTCTATTTTTTATGAAGAAACTCTCTCAAAGAAATGAAGGGACGACATGGTTTAGGCCAAAAAAAAAGTCTCCGGTTTCTGGTATGGAGGTTGCCCAAAAAGTGGTGCGGCGACGCGGCTTTTTTTTTTTTTTTACCTGATTTTTTTGCTTCAAATGTCGGCTGATGACTGCAAATGGTGCCCGACTAAACTTAGTGCAAATATATGGGAGTCCAGAGAGGCCACATAAAGCATATTCTCGATCATAACCCCCTCTAAAAACACGTTTAAATTGTGCAGCAGCAGGATTCCAGTCAAACCAGTGAGTTTGGCGGTTTTGAGACATCATCTTTCATTGAAAAAAAAACTTTTTCATTTTGCCAACGCGCATGGCTACGGCGACGCGCGCGCATACCAGAAACCGGAGACTTTTTTTTTTTGGCCTTAGGCCAGTTCATCAATAATTTTTAAACGTAGTTCATTATTACTGTAGCCAGTCTGTCATAATATGAAGATTTAACTGTTGTGAATGGTAACGCCGAAACAAAAAAATATTTCTGCTTCCTGTTACCCTACCTACCCTATTTTGACAGCCCCAATTCTTTTGGGGGAAAATGAAGGGAAAGAACGGAAAACCATCAATTACTACCTCTCACCCTTGCTACACTCAGACACCGCCAAATGAACGTACACAAACAAAATTGCCCCCCTCAAAAAAAAAATTTCCCTACCTTCCTACCCTATTTTCAAATGCCATGTAATCGGAAGCAGAACTTTTTTTTTTTTTTGGCCTAACCACATTATTTGGATTTGAGGAAAAGATTTTCAAAAGTCCACTCAAACAATAATTTACAGCAAAATATACTTTCTAATTCAACATTTTGACACGTGTCAGACCTTACTTGGGTTGAATAATGACGTTTCAAGATTAGAGAAAAATTAACCCCAACTCCCTACTTACTTTTAGTAAGTAGAGGACCATTTCCGTCAAAATCCATCACTCACTCAGCTTCACATACATGACATGATGAAATCCACTGCTGAGGTGCTGGTGGATTTATTAATATTATTGACCTCAACTTCCGTTCAATCGATCACCCAGATAAAAATTGGGTTAATTCAAAAACGGGAGTCTGTGACTAGACTAGTCTGTGTTTGGTACCAAGACGTTCACAGAAAAAGTGAAAGTGGACTGGTGAGACTTACAGACACGTACTACTGCCAGACATAGTGCTACATGTACCAAGTCTGGTTCCTAGCTTCTTATATCATGTAATGTACATTGCCCTAGTTGGTATCTGGCTAAATCCTATTATTCAACCCAAAGCAGCCTTGTTTTGTAAAATAAGCACAGCTAAAAATAAAATGCATGTTGTAAATAATGGCCACTGAATCTGTTTGTACATTAACATTAACTGAGTAACCTGTCGAATAACCACAAACACATAAATAAAACAGTTATCTGGAATTTGGTTGCCTTACCTGTTACTAAGCAGTGACCCCAGCACCATGAGGCTGTCCTCCATGAAGCTGATCACCTCCGTGATGTTATCACCTCTCAGGAGGAGCTCCCCTCGGTTCTTGAAGTTAGCGAAGATGATCTCCCGAGCGCTCCATTCAGCGATGGTTGCCTTCAGCTTGGCTTCAATGTCTTTCTCTTTGACGGCTGAGATACAGATATCCTAGTCGACATATGAAAATAGGACTTCTTTCAGTACTACTTTGAAGACTTTTTCATTCAAAAAACTCGATAGCAGCATTTAAATACAGATCGCACCAGAAGATATTATCCAAAGGTAATATGTGGATGTAGGCAGAGATAATTTGTTTAAAAATTGTGGCCAATTAAAAAAGGAAGAAAACGATATTGATTTGATCTCTTTATCCTAAAACAAGTCCAAAAAAATTGCCACTGATTTACTGCAACACAGTTTGATTATAAAGGACTGAGAGAAAACTCCCCATAAAAAATGCTAAAGTTCATTTCAATAGCTTACTACTGGGGGGAGGGTGGCCTAGTGGTTAGGGTTCAAGACTCATGATCAGAGGGGCAGGGGTTCAAATCCAGCTGCTGGCCATATGTTGTGTCCTTGGGCAAGCCACTTCACCCCATTTGCCTCTCTCCACCCAGGAGTATAAATGGGTACCGGCATTAGCTGGGGAGTAACCTGCGATGGACTAGCATCCCATCCAGGGGGAATACAAATATTCCCAGCTGTTTCGGGCCAAGGAAACCGGAGATAAATGCCGGCCTGATCAGCCATATTGGCTCGTGACAGACTTTACTTTTTCCTTTTATTCTTGAAACTGGATGACTTATGATTGACTTATAAAGACTTGACAACTCTACCATCTCTGGCACTGAATATTATGCCAACCTCTGAACTTTGACCTAACAAACTGACCTCAATATCCTCCTTGGACTGGAGCAGCGGTGCCTCCATGATGTTCCTGAGACAGAACGTCTCACTCTCCACATCAAAGACGTGTCCCGTCGTCTCTGCCATCCTCTGCCAGTGACGCGGCTTCATCGCCTTGTTGGTCATCAGCTCCAGGAGAGGACACGTCTCGTTGAAGTCATCGATGGTGTTCTTAAGATCATTGAAAGCCGGCCACTCCTTCAATGCACGCGGAAGCTTGCGACATCTTTCCAAAGACACAGACTAACCAAGTTTAATGTCACGTCCTCAAAAATACCGACTCTTCTGTTTAGGGCGATGGCCAAGTTGTTACAGAAGCAATTTTATGTTTTCATTCAGTTGTGGAATTCTAAACTTCCTGTTTTATTTTTTAAAAGTAACCAATTAAAAACCAAGTGCAGGTTATCAATGATTCAATTCAATAACCATGTTTGGCCACATTTGCGAGCTGTAAACCACAGAAATATTAGACAGTTTTTTTAACGTACAAAATAAAACAAAAAGCGATTCCTTCTTTTCTCTTTATAACACTTTGTATTTTTGACAACTTCTAGCAAATTGGATATCATCTTAAACTTTTCATTACTTAGCTTACAAGAGGACTAAACTTTTCAGAATATAACTCAAAGAACAACACTTGGAAAATACAATCAAACAGCACTCATGAAATGTTATGGTTATGGTTAGAATACAAAATGCGAGTATAGTTTCACCGCAACCATGCACAACCCAATGCACACCAAACATGAAACATGAACAAAACTCAGGAATTTTAACATTAATGATCATGCAATAAGTCTGTGGGAATTTTATAAACGGAATTAACTGACCAAAGTAGGGTACCCTATTGAAAAAACACCCGGATGCCTGTTAAAGAAATCCAACCCAAAAAATGAAATCTCGGAAGTTGCTGTTTACATTGTTCATGAAAGTCCGCACAATAATACTACCACGTCGCTGCTTCAATACAGAAAAATACAAGTGTGTACAGTGAGTTCTTTAGCGTTACAGTTTAAAGTACATTTTTGCAAGCGTCACAAATGTGAATCCATTTAGTTTTTCCATTTAGCCTGGTTTTCATTTTGAAAATTCCCAATAAATGACATTCAAAATCTTTCTTTTTCATTGTCTGAGAAGATACTAAGTAATATGTCAAGTTTATTACAGGTACCCGATTCCATAATCTGGAACCGATTCCTGACATCAGCGGTCGGTACTCGGGCACCCGATTCCGATGCACAGCCCTAGACGGAAGGTGAACACATTGACTTAAGGTTTTTGAATAGGACAAACCAAAAAGTATTTGAAATGCTGATTTTTTTTTCACCAGGTAAATATAATATCCCCAGAAAACTTCACAATATGTTTGATTCTGATAACTTTCGGGATAGATTGTGGAATCCTTTTTTCAGGAATTTGGCTAGCTGTGGCTCAGGTTTGAGTTGTGGGTGAAGGGCTGGTGGTCAAGGGCGGGTGGGGTGTTAGGGAAGGATAAGACATTCTGTGCTGGTTAGGGAGTGTCTTTAGAAGACGTCACAGGCATCCATCATGCAGAGGGCAGTGAAAGGCCTCACCGACAAACAAACAACAAAAACAACACCAACAACCGATGCAAACAGCCCACCTGTTAGTAAACAACTCACAAAAGCAAAGAGAAACGGAGGTGTTAAGAAAATACAAACAAAGCAAGGATTTGCAAACAGAAAACATGCAAATAGAAAACATGCAAGGAATGTGTTAAAATTGGGATTATGGAACATCTGATTGAATGCACTGGCAGACACTGATTATTTTGATCACTTTTGATTTGTACTCAAAACACAGGGATAAATGAGGGTTAGTCAACCACAACCTTAATGCCACATCACAACAAATCGCCAAGCCAATGGAATTCCAAAGAGTTGTAATAAAGTCAACCACAAGTCAAAAATGATCTATCACAAGTCAATCACAAGTCAGTCACAAGTCAAGTCACAAGTCAAGTCACAAGTCAATCACAAGTCTATAACAAGTCAATCACAAGTCAAATCACAAGTCAATCACAAGTTAGTCAAAAGTCACAAGTCAATCACAAGTCAGCCACAAGTCAATCACAAGTCAAATCATGAGTCAAATCACAAGTCAAGTCACAAATCAATCACAAGTCAAGTCCCAAGTCAATCATGGTCAATCACCAGCCAATCACAAGCCAATCACAATTAACAGAGGTTGAACAATAACAAATAACTGAGCCTTTATCAAAGTTACTTCGAACAGCTTGTGACTAAACTTAAGACTGGTTGACTTGTGATGGACTTGTGATGGACTTCTAATGACTGCTAACGACTTGTGATATCCTTATTACAACTCTAGAAACCCTTTTTCTCTTGAGATCGCACCTGTTCTGAAACTCAATCAGTTCCTGGTTGATCTTCTCGATATCCACATCCACCCACAGGATATCATAGTATCCATTCACCCGATCGATGACGTCGTTGTACAACCCGTACAGCTTCTGCAGGAGATTCAACTCCTTCTTGATCTGCAGCAGCTCTGGGTAGTCGGTGACCGATAGGCCGAAGAGCTCCTCACCCCCGGTGTAGGTGATGTACTTGCGGTACAGGGTGTCGAATCGGTTCTGGTAGATCACTAGACGATCACTGGCTTCCTTGGGCGGGATACCGGTGACCATGGGGCCGCTCTGGAAAGAGGAAGACAGCAGGGAACAATGAACGAAAGTCAGAAAGTCGATCATAAAAAGAATTTGATGATAGTGCAGGGATATAATTTCGTCGTGTCAGTGCAACAAGGTCGTAACTCCATTCTGCAACAAAGTCGTATCTCGCGCCAATACGCTCCATGCAACAAGGTTGTATCTCAACGTCCATTGACTTTGCGTGTACATCCGGGTTATTTTAAGCAAGATACGACCTTTTGACATTCTAAAACTCGCGTTTTGCGTCGTTCATGCCATTTTAGGAGATACGACCTTGTTGCACTGACGCGACGATTTGATATAGCTGTTTTAAAAATCATGAAGCGTTACCTGCAAATTTCACCAGAATTGAAATGTATTCAAATTTGGCAAATTTGCAGCGCAAAAACTTGCAATGACATCACAAATTCATGTTCATATTGGCTTTCGTGTTGAGTATGAACTAGCATTTAAGCCGATTCAATACATGACTTTTGATTTGTGAATGTACCAATGCTGTAGTCACAATACATAGGGGATGACGCCCCAATTTTGAACCCCAACAAATGTGCAATTAGTTAATTAGATGTTTGATGTTTGAGGCTGATTCCTAAAGCAAGACTCCTATGGCAGTTGACAGTTAAAAAACGAACACAACTCATTAAATAAACCACATGGTGAAACTGACAAGGTTCATTTTGTATCAATATAAGGACAGGCGAAGAAATCAAGTGGAGTGGAAATCGAACCCAGGACTCACATCGTGATAGTCACCGTAGAAGTCACCACAGTCAGAGATGAAGTCCTGAACATCGCTGAGCAGACCCCCACGGAAGTCTGGCTGGATCTGCAGCAGGTGATGTGACATCTCGATGGACTGAGCAGCAACCCTCTCCCAAGAGTAACGCAAGGTGTCCACCTTCTCTGCATCCTCCTTGGCTATCAACAGCTCGTACTTGTTGAGGAGGGCGTAAGATTCCTGTTGAGGGAGGCGGTACAAGACAGGACCAGATTAGTCTGGAGCCAAGACTCTCTCCTTTGATACAATAAGGAGAAATTAAAGAGCTCTCCCGCAAAGTTGCGTAAAAGCTTTTGTTTTTGTTCCGAATTTTTTTTGTTTCTTGGGAGTTCCATCCCAAAATCCTCTTTTTTGGCGTTTATCTTTGTCATATATCAATCAAAGTTAGCATAGGCAGAGACCCCATAGCAAAGTCATGCAGTGAAAAGTGACGTCATAATTACGTCATCATGTGTCATAGATGAAAATTGAGGTAATGTCATAATGACGTCCTCATATGATTTTATATGGACTTATCGCAATATCTCACAAACGCAACTTGCTAAGTTCAAAATTCTTTTTGTAATGGGTTTGTTAGGCCATAGACAAGTGATGACTGGTCGTGAAAAAAAAATTATTCACAATGTTGTGTACTTTTTTTCACTAGTTGTAAAAAATTTGCAACGTCCTTTATTTTTCAAACTCAGTCATGAATTTTATCGCATCAAAAAAACTTGAAAAAACAATTCATGTCTCGTGAAAAAAAAATCAAGACGTGGCAAAAAAATTCTCGTCTTAATAAAAAAAAAAATTCTAAAATATATACATATATACTTGTGATGACTTGTGACTGACTTGTGATAATTGATTACACCTGCTCTAATCTCAATCCACTTACCTCAATAGGACCAATCTCCATATCAATGCGGATCTCATTGACCCGCACCTCCTTGAGTGACTGCATGACCAGCCGAATATCGTCCAGATCCTTGATGGGTCGATTCAACCTCTTACTGACTTCATCAATGAAATCAAAGATCTCTTCCATCATGGTGCGGTATTTGTCATTACAGGCTCGGCTGTAGGCTAGCTGCCAGGCATGGGTCTCGGTGGTAAGGGCTAGCTTCAGGTTCTCTGTAAAACGAAACAAAAATAAGTCAAGGTTATTTTTTAAAATCTTTATAAACCACTTTTTTTTTACCCAGTGTTCAACTGTCCGAGATGTCGGGAGGTGTACATGTACTTCATATAGGGCTTTTGAACTTGAGATTCACATTGTAACAAAATTAAAAAGGGCCCAGGGTTAACTCTTTCCATATTTATATATTTACGTATGTCTAATGAGCTGAGGTCAGAGGTTCAGTTATGATAAAAAAAAATTCAGAGGACAATGACTACGACTTTTAATTTTGTAGTTCATTCTACAACTTTTACAGCCATAAAACTGCATCATACAGCTTGTCCAACTTATCAGAAATCTTCTGTGAGGCTGTAAAATCCCCCCAAAAATTGCACTGAAGTCCAAACATTAAAACAAATACACATCTACTTTTTGAGCCGTGAAGTTGAACGGACTCACCATAAGACTAAATTTACATTAATATTTTTAATTTTTTAATCTGAAACTAAAAATCAGTCTATCCTTCACATCCAATTCCACACTGACCTGTGAATAGAGCGATAGCGCCAACGTTATAGAACTCCGGCTCGGCAGTGATTTGGGCTTCCAAGTCACTATAGTGAACCAGCATGGCCTGGAAGTCACTCAGCTTGGGTCCAGCCGCCAGGAACTCCTCCAGCATCTCGCTGCGCTCCTTCTGCCAGATGGGATGGTAGTGAGCAAAGCGCTCCAGGGCTGTGGTCACCTCCTTCTTGGTGGAGTTGACGCAGGTGGAGAGAAGGGAGACCAGCTTGGCGATCTCTTTGTTCTCGCTGACGCTCTTGAAGTAGTTCTTGACAGGGATCTGTGGGGTGATGGCCTGGACTGGGGTATCTTCTGGACGGCCTGTTAATGGTAAAATGACAAAAATACAAAATATTAATTTTGGGGGTGCATCATCCTAGGGCTCATACCAGTCAACAAAAGCTAACTGACGTTTTCTGGAACATGAAATAGTGTAGTGCTTGAACTGTTAGGAAGTTCTGAAACTTTGGGAGTCAGGTTGGCACAGTGGTTACTTTCCTCGCCTTCCATCGCTGTGGCCCGGGTTCGATTCCTGCCAGAACCACATGTGGATTGGGTTTTCAGTCCCTACCTGATCCGTGGATTTTTCCCTAGAATATTCTTTTGGGTTTTTACTCCCACCTCTAAAACTGTAATTTCTTTTCATTGTCTCCTCTCCACAGGTTTATTTAGACTTTCGAGCTACAGTGCCTAGGACACTCTTGAGGAATCTTTACATTCATTACCAGAAAGAAATTGAAAAAAAAAATTAAAAAAAATTAAAAATAAACACTTCTCCAAATAAGATATCATTTTGTAACTTAGTCATTCTCATTCTCATCAGTCAGTCTCCAAATGCAAAAGCTGAACCCACCCCCCCCCAAAAAAAAACAATAAAAAATCTTGATCCATATATTTATCTTACCTCCTTTGCGAGACACGATATCACTGCGGGAGCTCTCAGATGCAGCCATACTGGAGATGCTGCTTCGTCTTCCTTGGTCACCGAGGGCGATGGCTCGTAAGTCTGCCTCCTGCTTGGCCTGTGAGAAGAAAATCAATAAGAGTGACTGTTCATTGCAAGTCAGTAGAGGTAGGACCAATAAGCGGAGGAAGAAGTGAGACAATAAGGTAATTGCTCCCACTTCTGAATAGTAATAGAAACTGCCAATGTACCCTGTTTAGATGCAAAGAACCACAAAGAGTCAAAAGATCCCCCCATCCCTGCCATTTAGAGATGTTTCTTCATTTCAACTTTGACCCGTGTAAATGCCCTGTTCTGTTTCCCAGTCTACTGAAGAATTAAAAAACCATTCATAAAGAATTTTTTGTAGCAAACAGTGATTTCAACTTCAGAAAATATCCAGATTTTTATTGGGTTTCATGAGACAGTGCTTAAAATATTCTACTTGGCAATTAAAGAGATTTCCCGAATTATAAGGTACTGAAACTTGGACCCAATGACTAACAGATTTCTCCTGGGACCTTAGGGAACTTAAAAATTAATGAGTTATGGCTGCCAATTGGTATCAGCTGCTTTCAGAAGCACACGTGCAATTGCAAGTCGTAGTCAAGTAATCTGGGCGTGGCCTTGCAAGACCTGGACCGGTTCTCACCTTTGACTTGCGTTCTTTGTTCCACTGAGCCACGCCCTTGGCCACGCCCAGTATCAACTGAGCGGCTTTATTGACAGCTTGTTGGACCTCATCCAGGGCCGGTTGCATGATGATGTTAGGGATGGACAGGGTCACGTTGCAACGGAAGAAAGGGCTGTCCTTCTTCTGTATGTCGCTGCGTTGAAGGTCTTAAAACAAAAACAAGAAAGCAAGTATTTTTTTACGACAGTTGAATTATTTTGGCAGTCTAGGGGAGGGTCCAGACTCAAGTAAAAAGCAAAAGCAAAATTTTTTTTGAAGATGTCCACAACTATTTATAAGATGGAAATTGCGTCGGGGAGATGAATATACATCTCTTCCATCAAATTCCATCTTATTAATACTTTGGTTGCGGCACTTGCTGCTGTAACAAATTCGAACCAGCCAACCGACAAGCTGGGTGGTCATGTGGTCAGACGTCTGCACTAGTAAGCGGGAAGTGGTGGATTTGAGGCCTGCCTGAGTAAGCTTGTGATGTTTCTTGCAACTCCTTGGACAACACTGAGTATACAGTGTTTATAAAATATGTCAACAACTTTAATTTCATATTCACGCTTGTTTTTAACCCTGACCAATTAATTTTCCTCTGAAATTCTGTGAGTAACAACAGTTTTTTAATTGACAAGTTATCCCAATGCATATGTGTGGTAATACATGTAAGTAATAAATGATGGAAAATGTACTCCAGGAACGTAAAATGTTAAGTGGCTTTTCTGAGTCAAACAATTGGTAGCTCGTTGTGATACAAATCCATTTTTTAAAGGCCTGTCTGCACCCTTTCAGCACTGTCAATACTTCTTCAGTGCCATGTTCTATACAAACATCCTCTAGATCTCCAATACTTTTAACAACACACACGCTGAAGCCTGTGGATACCCCAAGTGTCTGAGTGAAAGGGTTTATAGTCCATGACTCACCAATGTAACTCATGTGAGAGCTGCTAGTCACTCTCTTGCGGATGGAGTCCAACGTCTGCCGAGTCACTTTGAGCAAAGCGTCCAGGTTCCGATGGTTGAAGTGAGCCAGCAGTTCTTGGGCTACCTCCTCCAAGTTCTCCTGCATCTCTCGTTTACGTTTGGCGACGTTCATCGCGGCGGCGGAGTGGGCTCGAGATCGGCCACCACTGCCTAGGCTACGAGACGTGCTGCGAGCACTCAGGCGGGACGGGGTAGGGCTGGTATGACGCTTCTCCCCATCTATCAAGACAAATATTTTTACATCAAAAATCATCACCATGCGAAACTGACTGGGGTCTCTTTTCATCAATATTCAGTTAAATACAGAAATCAACGGGATAAGGATTCGAATCTCCAGAAAGAGAATTCCAGAGAGTCATACCAGTGTTGGCTCAATTCCAACTCGTCCCATTTTGTGTTACGTGAATACTGAATGTTCATAAAGGTCAGGCCCTAAGCAAGAAGTACGAAAAAAACTTAATTGTGAGTCAAAGAAGCCTTGTATTCAAATTAAGTGACAGTTTCAAGCAACTCTTCAGAAAGAAATTTCTTGAAACTGTTTAAAAGATAATTTTGCAAGTAAATTTTCTTGCTAAACAAGAATCAAATGGAAACCATGCACATCACTTACCACACGGAAAGTGGCCAGTTACCTTTTTGACAATTGAATCTACAACAGACATTTCTGAAACCGTGGCTTTGTCTCAAGCTTCACCTTCAGAAGATTTGAAGCCTTTGTCTTGGGGAGGGGGGTGTCTCCAGCTCAATAGGCCTTGATCTTCTTTAAGAACTTTAGATCCTCAAACATGATGCTAAAGTTCCAATATGTCTTTAATTTTGTTTGGACTTTGAAGGCGTCTTCATAATTTTGAAGGCACAGATTAAGCCAGACCTGAAGCAGGCCCAGATTTCATAATCCCTTTACAAGATGTCTTACTTTCTTCAGTGACATCCTTCTCTTTCTCCTCTTCGTCCTCTTCTTCCTCTTCTTTCTCTTCTTCAAAGCTCATTAGCATATTAATGACCTCATTGGCTGCCTCTTCGACCTGAGTACTCTTGTTCTGTATGGTGATGGCGCCACGGTTACACAGATCCTACATCCAAACAAAACGCATCATTAAATTTGGAACAAATTCGGACGATAAACAGGAAACTGCTGTCAACATTTCTCTCAGTCTTCCACAAAGCAGAATTTTTTTTAGGACTTCGCAATTCGAATACTCCCCAAGGAACATCAAATTGGGAGTCTAATGTGCTTACAACATTCAAATGAGAGTACAATCTGGGTTTTTTTTATACTTGTTCCATAATATTAAATCAAAAGTTAGCATATGCAGCATTTTTCTGACAAGAAACAGCTTTGAAAAGCCAGGGCCCAATGTTATGAGTATGCTTAGCAAAGATATTGTTCCATTCTGACGTCGTTAGTAGTATGAATCACAAGACATTTTGAATGGAAACCTGTTTTAGCTAAGCCAATATTTTCTGTGTTGAGGAACTTCTTGAAATTTGTCACAAGTTCCTGTATTAGCAAATTTCAATCCCTGGAAAGTTTTGATCCTCTAATAACTCCATTGCTTCACGTATCATTCATTGGATAACTTATTCAGGATAAGCAATGTTCTATTATCACAATTCAAGTTGTAAGTACCAACCTGTGTGTTCTGTAAGAACTGATCAATGGTCCAGGGTTCATCCTCAGGCAGTTCACACAGCGGAGTGGTGCTCATGTCCAACAGGACTGCATTGATACGGAACTGGCACAGGTCGTTGGCTCGGTCCATCAACAGCTCCAACTCACCTTAAAAATGAAGAGAAAATGCATGCTTTAACTTGGTACTTACTTGGTTGGTTCTTCTCCTAAGGACTTCCACAAGGGAGTATAACTAGGAGGCCAGAAACACCGGGGCAAACCCCTTCCTTTAGCGATAAGTGTTACTGGGTTCTTTTACGTGCGTTAGGCCTTATACAACACACGGGACCTCCGGCTTAACGTCCCATCCGAAGGACGAAGCAATAATGGTTAAGTGCCTTGCTTAAGGGCACAAGTGTTCGGGCAATGACTTGATTACAGCTCTTATTCTTTTAGAGCCCGATTCTTATAATGAGAACCTTCCTTCATAAGTTTCTTGAGCTATTTAGCCCTTGAGTGTCCTAACCTCACCTAAAGCTACAAAATACTACTCAGTAGTAACCTGTAGTATGCATTTCTGGTCCTTGACCCCCAAAGAGCCCTAGGACGTTAGGGTTAATGTAGTACAGTTGCTAAAGGGTTAATTGAACTTGCTGTAACTTGAACAGACACCTATCTTACCTAATGATTTGTAGACAGATTCCACATAGCTATCAATATTCATGCTAGTCCATGACAGCATAGTCAGTCCTGGCTCGATCACGTTGTCTAGCTTGTTGATATGAGGTAGCATCAAGGGCTCAAAGACGGGGTGAATCTTGGCACGCACTCGCTTGTTCTCCTCCATCAGCAACTAAAGGGGACGCAAGAAGAAAGGACAAAACAAATTATGTATAAACCTTCTCACGCAGAATGGTTCTATTTAAAATCTCAAACTACGGGGTAAAGAGAGTGCATCTGAAGATGTGTGAAGAGCGTGAAATTAATTTCAATTTGCATAAAAAGTGACATTCCTTCACTTTGAAATGCTGCAATAGTATATTTTCCCCTCAAGAAAACAACCCAAATCTTCCCCCTTAAAAAATGCTTCTGAAGCTTGTGCTGACAATGATTATAAGTAACCACATTTTCAACGCAGTAATAGGAGGAAATATTTAAAATGGCTGTAAACTCTTCCCATTTTTATTATCATGACATAAGTAAACATTTTAGACATTGTATCTTATATATCTTAAAGATCTTGTGTTGTGCAAAACCCTGTTGCACACTTTGATTCTTGTGACGGACATAAGAAACAAAACAATGATCCTGAGAATTCCTTCCTACCTGTAATTTATTGAAGTTTTCTTTGAAGGTTCCCTGTTTCTGTCTGATGGCCCGAGCAGCCAGCGGGATGTCAAGACCCAGACGGCTCATGCACTCCGTCTCCCTGATCAGGGTCAGGATCTGAGGGTCAAAGTTCACGAAGAGTTCGTTGGTCTCTGGGTGACTGACCAAGAGGGAGGCGTGGAGACCGGACTTGATGGCTTCAACCTGTAGCGGCAGAAATCAGAAGAAAACAAAAAGGTAAGCCGAAGTTAAAATGAGATTTCTCAATTTTTTTTTACATTTTTAAGAGACATGCATCTCACTTCTTTTATGATCTAGACTTTTCAAATGACATGTCATGACTTTTGATGGAAAGTTTGACTTTTTTTCGCACAAACTAAGTATACAGTATACGGGTCATTCCATAAATTTGGGGTCCACTTTTTTCTGTCCCTGTTACATCTGACGTCTATGATTTTATAATTCTGATGCACTCCTTAATGCAGTCGTCCTCCAAGAGTGATTATGAATAGCAGACTACCTACCTACCGTAACCAACTTTAATATTACTTAGTAACTTCTCAGACAATGAAGAAACTGGTTTTGAATGTCTATGTGGAGAAATTTCAAAATGAAAACCCATCTATATGGAAAAACAAAACAGATTCACGTTTATGACACTTGCTAATTTAACCATTAATTGCTAAAATACACCATTGCTAAAATACACCATTAAACTACATGTATTGAGCTAACTCTATACACACTTGTATCTTGTAGTAACACATCGATGTGGTATAGTATTATCATGCAGACATTTATGAACAGTCTGTACAGCAACTTCTGAGATTTAAATTTGGGGGTTGGTTTCTTTCACGAATACCCGGGTACCCGTGTTGTTTTCAATCGAGTATCCGATTCCCGTACTACCCATTAATGCACACCCCTACAGTCGATTACAACACTGGTCTTGCATTGTGACATGTGACAGCCTTGTGATAATAACTCATCTTTACCTGTCTGAGCCAGGCCCGGTGATACAACACCTCAAACTCCATCAGGACCTTAGCCAGTTTGTTGTAATTCTTGATGATACGCTTCGCCTCAGCTCCTTGGAGTAAGTGAGGCATAGTCTGGAAGACCTCCATGGGTTCCTGGATGCGCTGGAACATCTGCCGCGCCCAGGTGATCTTGCCGGCGATGGGGGGCAGGTCGCGGGCTACCGGCGGCTCGTTCTTGTGACGCTGGTAGTTCCGGGAGGTGTTTTCAATCTCACGGCCGAAACGGGAAAGGATGAGGGCGTACCTCTCAGTGATGCCCAGGCCAGTGATGGTTATCCTGAGGTCGGGAAAAGAAAAGTAAGACACGACAAAATATATTTTATTTTCAGGAATTTATTTAATCTTTTCAACTCCGCTCCATAATAGTATCTGATACAACAGAATGATTCAAAGGCTCAACAAAGCTAGTTTTATATTAATGCCAACACTGTGATCACTACTGTGTCGTGTTCAATAAACTCAATTTTGTCCATAAGAGACATCCATACAACAGAAAATGAAAGTTGAATAAAGGTCAAGGGTCATGATGTGTGCCAACCCACCAAATTCTCAAGTTTGTCATGCTATTTTGACCTCTAAACCATACACACTGCATGGATGCAGTGGTTCAACAAATCTTTTGACCACGTTGCAATGGGATTATTTTGACATTGACCGGACCCAGGCTCAGGATTGTTTTTCACAAACGTCGATGCTAGATTGGTTCAGGGCGTCATCTGCAGGTAACACACCCTGATATTTCCGGCCTCGCTTGCTGCAAGTGGGTCACAGAAAGATTTTCCCGCCTCACTCGTTGCGAGTTTATCTGTCATCCGTTACGAATACCGCAAAACCTTTGCGTGTATAAACGTCATCCGACATGAACTGGTTAAAGCACTCACATCTCAGTGATATGATTAAGTCCATAACAGTGACAATCTGTAGACAACTGACAGAAATATCCACTAGCATGGAAACAACAGTTTAATTGAAAAGATAGCAATCCTTTACCTCTCAAACTTCTTGATAAGTTGCAGGGCCCTGGGCACATTATAGATCTTGTCGAATGTAGCGTCCATGAAAGCCTTGATTTGTGCCTGTATAAATAAACAAAGTGTTACCAAACAAGCTTTGCAAAGTAAGAAGAACATTTCCAGTCTGTTACAATCCCCGGCCCAACTTCAAATTCAGATTGCTTGACGGAAAGAATAAATAAGAGGAAGTACAACAGAGAAGGTCTGAATATTCTCTTTAAGATTTTCTTTAAAAACACTTACTTGCAACTCTCCGATACTCCTCTTGAAGTCTTGGTAATCGTTGTCGTAGTCCGTCTTGCGTTGATCCAACAGATCGTAGGGTTTCTTCTTCATGGAGGTGTAGATCACCACAAACTTGTTGGCCATAATTTCCATGCCTGTGGCAAAAGATGAAAGAGGCTCACTTTTAAAATGGCAGAGAAAAACAGTACACGGCAGAGGCTGAAAAAGAAAACTTCAACCAAAGCAGAACAGTTGTAAAAGCACGCCAGGTAATATTCTGAACTTTCTCTAAAGAACACAGCGTACTTTTTTCAGTCGTTTCAGGCCTTAGTGAAAAATAACATGAAATTTTCAACCTTAACCCTAACTCCCTACTGAGTTTTACTGAGTAGAGTTCCAAGTCTGTCAAAATCCATCACTGACTCTGCTATACATAAAGCCAAACGACCAAATCCATTGAAATCCACCACTGGTGCTGGTGGATTTTGATGGACTTGGTACACATGGCTTATCTGCCAAAATCCCACCAAATGGGGCAATGGATATTGATGGAGTTAGGGTTAAGCATGAACAGTGACAAACAAATTCTTGGAAAGGCCTTTTGGTAAACTCTTTGGTCAGTCAAACAGTGCTAACTCAACAACTCTTTTGTTGTTGTTTTTCTTCATGACTATTCACAGTGCTTTAAATTCATATAAGTTGAATCCCTCTCCCAATGCATTTAAAATGTCAAAGCTTGGATTGTTTTCAAAAAGTTGTGTTTCAACCGGATGAAATATTGAAGATTGACAGGTGTTTTTCAAGCCTTTTCTGACAGATTGATACATCAATGACATCCTGCCTCCTGCTAGACTACAGGTGGTCTCTATGTAACTGTCCATTCATGTAGCGATAGCCATGTGATGGCCACAGCATCTATTCAACAATTTCCTCTTTGTTTTCCGCTGACAAACGACAAAACCTCATGTTCTGAATTGTTAAGTAGATTATGTCAGTGCGTTCATCACACAGCTTGTCGTCTGTCACTTTTGCAGATGGACTCAAGGCAGATGGGAGACGGATTGGGGAACTTTTCCAAGCAAGGTTGTTCAACTTTTCATTTACCATTTCAAGAGGATTCACTGATAGTGAATTCAGGGGAAGGCAGCATGTAACTGGGCAATTCTAGCGTTATGAAAGGAATTGTAATGTTTAGACGGAGCTAATTAACCATGATATCTAATTAACGATTCAGAGAACTGATCCTACTCTGTAATCTCCTTATTAAACCATTATTAGATGATGGATGAGTAAAATTTGAAAAATACATTTCCATATTTATTCACTGAGCTCTTAAAAGATGTGTCTCGGACACTGCATAAAACTGGAATTGCCCAAATCTCTTCTCCTGTTCTGATTATCCACACATTATTTTTTTCAGTGAAACTTTTGATTTTCCCTTCACATGTGAGGCCTGTTGCTCTTCAACGTTTGGCAGCAAACCATTGGTTCTTTGGCTATCCATTATTCCCTCAATCCTCAGGTTCCCTACTTTTTCTAGTCAAAACAATAACCGACACAGATTCTTATTGTATATCTTTGAAAATTAATTAAAGAATAAGGAGAACACTTAAATGACACATGACTGAAAAATCTAAATAATTTAAAGGATCAAGCAAAATTTGACCAAAGACTTGAACTAATGAACTCTGACTGTCTTCTTCACAGCTTTCAGAAACTTTTTCTTAATTGATTAAAAATGTAGACTTTAAGTATTAAGAAAACAAGACTGAACGAAGAACTGATTATTAATACTTTTATGCCAAAACAAAAACAAATAACAAACCTAGTCCATGTTATTTAAAAATCATGATAGAGCATTACACTGAGCTGTTTTAAAAGGCAGAGAAAACAGTCCTGTAATTTCCTTCATTCAAACCAAATCAATGTCTCCTTACCCTCAATCCGTGTCTCAGCCAGATGCGAATACATCTCCATGGTATCAAACATGTCAATGATCTTCTGCAGACGGCGCTCGAAGGTGTCAAACTTGCCAAAGATGTACATCTCGGAGAACTCAAACTGCCGCTCGTTGGGCATGGTCTCCAGCTTCTGCTTAGTGCGTTGGAAGTGTCGCTGGTACTCGTGGTTCAGGTGGATGCATGCCTTGAGTTTGGGGATCAGTTCTTCCGTTGGCTGGTCCCAAACATTCATGGTACCCCGCTCGCTGATGTAAGCCTTGCACGATGTGATCATTTGGTTGGTTACCTGTTAACACGATGTCAGTAAGGATTCATTTAAAAATGGGTTCTTCATGTGTACGTTTTCACCATTTAAAGAACTCCCCCAAAATAAAGAAACTGGCAGTTAACTTGACTCACTGTAAACTCCTTTGTACTTTATTAACTTGAAAACTATCAGAATCCATCCAAATCTATGAGCAAAACATGAAATTCAATCGATACTAAACTTATAAACCATTTTCATACATCTTCAATTACGATGTAAAATGAACATTTGCAAATTTACAGCTGTACAACATACACTTTTTAATCTTGCACGTCACAAACGTATGATGAGCTAGTAATTGTTCAGAATAGTTTAAGCATGTTGCCTTTCTAGTCGAGAAGGTGGAAGTAGGAACTGAAAGCACTGTACCTTGACGAAGAGTGAGGTCATCCTTTCAGAGGTATTGTAGAATCGTGATATGCTGTGGATCATGCGGATTGCGTTGATCAGGCCGGGAATGGTTTCAATCATTCCAATCTAAAAATGGAAACAAAAATCAGTAGAATACAAGGCTTTAGAAACAAGTCTGGGGGGAAAAAAAGTTTCGTTAAAATTACTAAGCTGTTTGACAATAATTTTGTTGTACAAATTGCAGAGTTTTTTTTAAATCAAATGATGTGGTTAGCTATTCTCATGCAGGAACTCTAAAGGGTCCTCTGTTATCTGGTCCAGTGGTTACGGTGTTTGACTCATGTATGATGGTGCATGGGTCCAAAACCTGCCAGGACCATGGTGTTTGTGCCCTTGGGCAAGACACTTAACTACAATTGCCTCTCTCCACCCAGGATGAATGAGTACCTGTGAGGACAGAGGACCGAACAACAGGATACTGGGGTGGTTTAGCCCTTCTCAGCGCCCTGTTTGGGCGGTGGGTACGAGCGAAGAATGTGTGCTGATATCGGCTGCCACGTGGTCTCGTGGCCTAATGAATGAGCGAATAATTGCACTTTGAAAGATTTTTTTAATAGCGAAAATATTGGTGTTTGCGTGTCTTTACTGGTTCATCAATGAGAAGAAATATGCATGCATGTTTGACACCATTTTTTAAAAGTGAATGTTAATAAACACATCTGTTTGACACGTCTTTATGAAACAGGAATGCACATAACCATGAATTACACAAAACTGTCCTGTTAACAGCAGATTTTTCCATTATTTACTGCGGATGATGTTGTATATAGAAATATAATTTAAATTTTTTAATATTTTTAATTATTAAAAAAAAAAAAGGAATGAAAACAAATTCAACAGAATCCGGACTTACAGGATCACTGTTGTAGAGAGGATCACAGAATTTATCCAGCGTGTACAGGAATTTCACATTGTCCTTAGCTTCATTGGCAGCGTCTGTGATGCGTCGATCTAGATCCATCCAAGTCTGGAATAAATGAACAACAGAGTAAAACATACAACCACTGTGTAACACACAAATACAACATAGATAAAGGGAAAAGAACTGGTTGAAAATTAATAGTCCCAAAGGGCTAACCGATAGACTGATTTAAGGAAAAAAGGTACATTTGGCACATCAACATATACAGGAGAAATAAGTCTACTTTGGGCAGCCTGTAGCTATAGACCAATCCGGGCACGCTGTCAATTCCATCATGAAGGCCCCCTTCAATGGCGAAAGCATTGTGCTAACTAGTGCTCAGATAATTCGCCATGTGGCAGTCGCTTTGTACAATAGCATGCACAATGGTTTCTCCATTGAAAGGGGCTTCGCGTATGCAGTGATCACACACCTGGATTTGTCTATACTAGGTCACGCCAAGAGATTTAAGTAGTAAAATTACCCCTCCAAAAGGCAAATCTGGCCCATTTTTTGTAAGTTGATCATTTGACGACACCTGTTGAAGCCTGGACATAATTTTGATATTTTTAACTTACCTTGATGGAGCGACTCTTTGCTGCTTGTAGGACTCCCAGCACCGCCTTGACCTCTGGTTTCTTCAACTGCTCCAGCAGGTAGTTGAACCGAGCCATTCTCTTCTTCCAATGTTCCAGCTCTGCCCGAGGCCCAATGTTGTCGGCCTCCTTGCGCATTTGTTCGCTTTCGGTTAAAACCTGTGAGATTAAGTTAAGAGTATATTTAACGATACATAATTCTAATTTGATGATTTAGGATGTCATAGTAAAAAGTGGATGCACAAATACTTGTTTTTATTCACTGCAAAATGTAATCATTCAACTGAAAACAATGAAGACACTGTTCAGTTTTGAGATTTTCTGTTGAAATTGTGAACCCAAAAAAGTTGCCCACTGAAAACATTTGTGAGAAAACTTTGCTTGCTGGCTTACTGAAACAACAACAAATCACCAAAGAAAGAAAATTTACGACAGCAAAATGTCGCAAATTCTGGCAAATTGTGGTGCTAAAAAAGCTGTAACATTAAGCTTTCTGCCTGAAATGACATCACACTTTTGCTCATGAATATGGATATTTGCATTAGCATAAAAATCAAAAAGGCACCCAAATGCCCTTAAAATGAAAAATGAAAATTAGGTTAAATGGGACAAAAAGGTGCATTTTCAAGGATTGCATTAAACAAAATTACATTATACGAGCCCTTTTAAGCGCTGGCGTTGGGACTTGCACCCACAACCTCCTGCTTATAAATTAAGAGTGCAGTAAAGCTGTGAAGCTGTTGGAGAGTACTGAGCTGACGGGGCATAGAACATCATGTTGTTGGGCAACATTCCATCAAACTCCAGTGTTAAACTGTTCAGTATAATCATCTCCACACTTACTTGTTCGATCTGTTTGATCCACACCGCCATGATGCCCTCAATCAACTCCAGCTCCTGGGTACTGTTAGCCACAGTGATGTAGTCTGAAGCCTTGGTCAGCTTGCTCAGATCGTACGTCTCACACTTGCGAAGCTCTACTCTCTCTTCAAGGGAATCCTGGGCGGCGTTGAGGATTGTCACAAAGGCATCCAACGATTGGACGAATTCTTTACGAGTTCCCTGATTGGCCTAGGATAAAAAACAGACACGCTGGGTTTGGTTCGGTGTTTTTTTTAATTGTTCACAAGAATCAATATTTTAAACAACAGGAGAGGAAAAAGATGTTAAGATAAAGAAATGTACTTTACAAAACTGGAAAACTCAACGGACACTTTTGCAAATAATTTCTAGAATTTGCAAGAATCAAAGTGCAGAAAATTGAAATAGTACATTGATTTGTACTTTCAAAAACAAAACAGAACGTCAAGCTCGCTGTGAACTACTAGTGGCTAATGGAATAAAATGATCAAAGCCTTTCATTTTTGGGGCAATTTTGGGGTTGTAGTCATCTTATTTTGTTATATCTGTAATGGGAGAAGCGATAGAGTGAGAATGGTTGAAGAAATTGTCATCAGAAGGTATGCAGGTTTTTTGGCCAATATTATAAATCTGAAGAAAAAAACGGAACCAATTTCAGCTGCAAAACAGAAAATTTGCTTAGGAAATGTATGTGTTAAGCAACATCAGTTGAGAACTCGTCTAAGGTTATACACATTGCATGACTTCTCGGCTGCCAACCCATTTTTGTAAGCAAATTTTGTTTGGTTCTTAGCAACGTTTTATACCCAAAATTTGATCCCGTTGTGATTACCTGAGAGCCAAGTTGACCCCAACCATTCTGGTTGCCTTTCAGGAACGGCAAGAAGATGTCGCCCAGGTACCTCTCTATTGCCTGGAGTAGGCCAATCCTGCCCGTGTCCAACGAAGTGAAGATCAAATCCTGAAAATCATCACAGAAGGAAATAAATTCAATTCAGAATGATTGACTTTGTGACTTCTTTTGATAAAAACAAGGTTTGGTTTCAAGTCAAATTTGAATTACATTAATAAGTACGTTTGCATCATGCAAATGGAAAACTATTCAGGGAGGACAGTGCATTGAAAAGTGATGGGACTACCCTGGTAAAATAATACAAAATAAATATATAAATAAATACATAAAGAGAGAAATTTGTCTTTCACAAGACGTGGCTAAGTACAAAACTGAGCTATGATTGTGTCCACTGTCATTATGTTCTCTGGATGCGAGATTTGGATGGGGTCTGTTGCAACAAACAAAAGAAACTAGCAAATTTTTTTTGGGGGGGGGATGACATCACTTTGTGCATTTTATCCACTGAGGCTACAATGTGCAATGAGTCCTTACATGAGGGTTTGTTAGTTACCTCTGTCACGAATCAACAGACTTACTTTATGGACGTTTTCTGCAGTGATAGGCTTGCTAGGATTGGCTCGTAGGAAGAACACGCAGATGCCACACAACGGTGCGTCCACACCGTCCGTTACAAACAGCTTAGGTTTGCCGGTCTTGCCCGACTTGACGCTTGCTGGACCCAACCTCATCGGCTCTCCTGAACAAGAACATGGTCTCAGAATAATTAACGATTTGTCAAGACACCTCAACACCTGGCAAGTTCTTAGCATTCTCAGTTACTAGGCACGGGTTCAATTATTTCATCTTCGTCTCTGCTTGACTGTGAGGGTTTTTTTTATTCGTTTTGTCCTCTTGGGTGTTCATCTGCTTCTAAAACTTGCACTTCCTTTCTTAACCATCTCACTTCAAAGGAAAAAAGGCTTCCTATGATAGGTTATTAAAACAAAAGCATAAATTGATGAACTTTTAGATAAGTTTGTGCCCATCTCTTGTTAGTTTTGGGTGTTAATACGATTCAAAAGGAAACAGTAAAGAGCTAAAGATGTGGCAACAGGGCCATCACTTTATAAAATGGATATACATTTTTAGAACTTGTTTGCGTTATCCCTGCTTTTTCCACTGAATGGGGAACCTTTAATTTACAGGTCTCAATATTTTTTTTCTTGTTAAATCTTAACTAATCTGTATCATTATTATGTGGAAATTGCGAATAAATCAAATCAAATCAAAAACTTTACCTGTTCCTCCATCTTGAATCCAGGGATGTTTGCCACCTACAAAAAAAGGCAAGCCATCACAAAAAAAAGGTTAAAACAAATTTAATAAAACAAAATCTATCAACTTTGTCACTCATGTGTGTAGTTACTACTGCTATGAGGACACCTCACTGCAAAAATATGTGTGAATTATTAGGATTTTTATTACAACTAGCAATACTTCTTTGAACAGCAGACTTCTAATACAGTACAGAATGCAAATGTATTGCAATGCCCCCTTTACCAACTTATAAATCAGTATTTAAGTTTTTACAATTTTTGTAATCAGTCCTGCTTTCATATATGCCATGATAACGACCAACCTGTTTCTTGGGACATGTCCATCTCCTGATAGAAGAACATGAGGTGGCTGGAGGCCTCCGAGTCAAAGAATTTATCCATCTTCTCAATCTGTTCAAAGACAAATACAAGCATCAATCATGAAAACTGACTTCGCTTTAAAAAAAGAAGAAAGTTATTAGATCTATTGCTGGCAAATTGATCATCCCTTTGCAAGGGTGACATCTCTGGCTAAAAACTAACCGCAAGAGGTTAGCTACTAAAATTTGATCGCGAAGGAAATATCTAGAAACCCACATTTTGTAGTGGAAAATAAAGCTACCTTTGAAGAAAAATGAAGAACGAAATACTTGCGCAAATGGGCAATTCTAGCATAATGAGAGGTTGTAGTTGAGTGTCTTGCCCCAGACAATAAAACATAAATATCTAATAAATGATTCAAATTGATGATCCAAAACTCGTAGTCTGTAATCTCCTTGACCATTACAAGATGATGGAAATATACCAGTAGACCAATACATTTTCAGGTTTATTCCTTGGGCTCTTAAGGCCACAAAAAAAAAGTCTCTGGTTTCTGGTATGGAGCTTGCCCAAAAAGTGGTGCGGCGACGCTGCTTTTTTTTTTTTTAACCTGATTTTTTGCTTCAAATGTCGGCTGATGACTGCAAATGGTGCCCGACTAAACTTAGTGCAAATATATGGGAGTCCAGAGAGGCCACATAAAGCTTATTCTCGACCATAACCCAATCTAAAAACGCGTTAAAATTGTGCAGCAGCAGGATTCCAGTCAAACCAGTGAGTTTGGCGGTTTTGAGACATCATCTTTCATTGAAAAAAAAACTGTTCATTTTGCCGACGCGCATGGCTACGGCGACGCGCGCGCATACCAGAAACCGGAGACTTTTTTTTTTGGCTCCGTCACAGAGATTGCATAATGCTGGAAATGCTCACGTGATCTTCTGAGCACTACATGGCTTGTGTTCAGAGCAACGGGAGCCAAACTTTGAAGATCACTCTTATTTGGTAGTAATGTTTTACAACTTACAGTGTTTCCTTCCAAGATGGCATCCTCCACCTCTGTCTTGTCCAGACTGAGACTCGCTGCCGTGGCATCAATGATGAATTCATGACGGGAGTCCAAGTGAGCTCGCTTGGCTTCCTTCTCCTCCTTCAGCTTTTGCTGTTGGACATTCAAGAAAATCACCAAGAGGTTAAGAAAATAATGAGCCACAATGAAAGAGGCTCCTTGTATGAAGTGGTCTCATCCAATTGAAAATCCCCAAAGTTTTCAGACTTTGATTTCAAGTATTAAAGTTAAAATGTTCACAATAAACTCTTAAAGGGAATATACATCATTTGCTTTTGCTGTAATTTTCAGAAATGGATGGAATTGGGGTGTTGGAAATATATAGCAAATATAGTTACACTGACTTTTTGGAGGTTTTGGGTTCGAATATGCTATAAAAACCAAGAAAAACAATCATTTTCCTGTAGTCTGGTTCCCTGACTCCATTTAAGAAGAAACAGAGCAGTTAACATATATTTGGGAATTGTAAGGTCAGGGGACCAGGCTAGCTGGCTTGTACCCGTTCATAGGTGTGTAATCGATTGCAAACAAGTGCGATGGTCAACTGGGGCCAGTATTTGAAAAAAAAGCCAGTTTTTTTCCAACGCTGATCGGCCAATCAGCATTGGAAATTGATACAAAAATACCACTTTTCTTGAAAATGACAGTATACCAGGTGCCATGATTTTACAGGATGCTTTACACTGTCATTCACTAACAGTCCAGCAAGGTATTTCAAAATGATTTGGTAGTTTTATTTTTTGATGTTTGCAAATGCTGGATTATCCCTTTAACTTCGATTGTCAGAAAGGGAGAGTTGGGGGAGACCACTGGAAAGACATTCGAATGTCTTGGGGAGTCAGGTTGGTGAAATTATGGTTACTGTCCTTGCCTCCCAGCGCTATGGCCTGGGTTCGATTCCTACCCAGACCACTTACATTGTACCTGTACGGATTGGGTTTGCAGTCCCTACCTGATTCTGTGGGTTTTCCCCAGAATATTCTTCTAGTGTTTTCTTCCCGCCTCTATAACTATAATTTCTTCTCACTGCCTCCTCTCTGCAGATTTCTTCAATCTTTTGAGCTGGAATCCTTGGTTTCATTAAAATGTCGACAACACCCGACGCTCACGTGAAGACACAACGTGCCCATTCGGAATAACACAACTTGTGTGTACTTTTCGCGCTGTGTTCCATCCATATTGTCAATAAAATGCAAAAGTCAATTCTGATCATATGGTGAGAGAACACAAAGGCACCACCCTAAACTTGCCACTCAAATGTAGAGGAATACAATGCTCTGTGATTTCAATTACATTAAAAGGTTACAACAGATGTATGGTATGTACTTTGGTTGATGTATTAGTGACACTCAAATCTTGAGAGGGAATCAGATGCGCAATTTTCTCTAATGGAACATCAATCTCAAAGCTTTCAAATTATAAACTCAAAGAGCATTTTGGTGATTAAATTTTGGATGTCCAGGGCAGGAGACCCATTTTAATGGTTGATTTAATGAAAAAGTCAACATGGTGATCAATTGTGAAACTGCCATCACTTAAAAGGACGGTAAACAGTTTCAAGACACTGCCATGATTACTTGTCTAAATCTCCGTATAGGGACCTCCTATCTCATAGAGGAGCAAATCTAAAACAGGATGGTAAACACAATTAAAAGTGATTTTCCCGACGACATGCGCTTCATCATCAGGTATTAAAGCCGAACATCGTCGGCGGCAGCGATCACTTGTGGTCGAGTATGATCGTCTAACAAGCAGGCTTTCATTTGGGTCCCTGCGAACCCCGAGTGGCTGACATAGCCTGATCCTTGAGCCACATAATCAGCCACATACATAGCAGGAAAGTCCTGAGGTACCGTAACTCGACATCTTTGGAGCTGTTTTTTTTTCTTGCTCTTTTCTGAAGGCCCGTTTGCACTTTTCCTCCTGCTGTCGTGCTTGTTCAAAGTGTTCTATCCCTTCTTACAGTAACTACCTCCAGAGAGTCGCTCCAGTGCAGTGTCTCAGTAGTTAATACTACTTCACGAGAAGACGCTATTGCTTTGAGCAGATTCAGAATAAACCAACTTGTGCGTACTTTGCGGGCTGTGTCCCATCCATATTATCAATAAAATGTTAAAATCAATTCTGATGAGAGAACATAAAGGCACCACCCAAAACTTGCCACTCAAATGTAGAGGAATACAATATTTTGAATTTCAATTAAATTAAGAATAAAAAAAAGATGTATGGTACAGTATGTACTTTGGTTGATGTATTAGTGGCACTCAAATCTTCAGAGGGAATCAGATGCGCAATTTTCTCTAATGGAACATCAATCTCAAAGCTTTCAAATTATAAACTCAAAGAGCATTTTGGTGATTAAATTTTGGATGTCCAGGGCAGGAGACCTATTTTAATGGTTGATTTAATGAAAAAGTCAACAGGAGGATTAATTGTGAACCTGCCATCACTTGATAGGTTGGTAAACAGTTTCAAGACATTGCCATGATTACTTGTCACAATCTCCGTATAGGGACCTCCTATCTCATAGAGGAGCAAATCTAAAACAGGATGGTAAATACAATTAACATTGACTTTCCCGACGACATGCCCTTCATCATCAGGTATTAAAGCTGAACATCGTCAGGAGCGGTGATCACTAGTGAGCGAGTATGATCGTCTAACAATGGGATTGATTGTGAAACTGCCATCACTTGAAAGGACGGTAAACAGTTTAAGACATTGCCATGACTACTTGTCTTTATCTCCGTATAGGGACCTCCTATCTCATAGAGGAGCAAATCTAAAACAGGTTCGTAAACACAATTAATAGTGATTTTCCCGACGACATGCGCTTCATCATCAGGTATTAAAGCCGAACATCGTCGGCGGCAGCGATCACTTGTGGTCGAGTATGATCGTCTAACAACCAGGCTTTCATTTGGGTCCCTGCGAACCCCGAGTGGCTGACATAGCCTGATCCTTGAGCCACATATTCGGCCACATACATAGCAGGAAAGTCCTGAGGTACCGTAACTCGACATCTTTGGAGCTGTTGTTTTTTTTACTCGCTCTTTTCTGAGGGCCCGTTTGCACTTTTCCTCCTGCTGTCGTGCTTGTTCAAAGTGTTCTATCCCTTCGTACAGTAACTTCCTCCAGAGAGTCGCTCCAGTGCAGAGTCTCCCATGTGTTGACATCAATGTTACACTTCATGGTGTCCTTGAAGTGTTTCCTCTGTCCTCCGCTTGAACAGAGCCCCTCTCGAGGCTGACCAAAGACCACTTGTTTTTGGAAGGTGAAAGTCTGACAAACTGAGTATGTGGCCGACTGTCTCAGTTAGTTACAGATAGCCACGTCTTCGATGCTTGTGCTGTTCGCTTACTCCAGAATGCTGATGTTGGTTCGTCTCTCTTCCCACTTAATGCCTACGTGTACATAAAAGTTGGTGACAAAGACATTGCAGCTCAGAGGAGAGCAACTGGCAAGGCTGCAGCACAGACCCTGAGTCGTAAATTGCTAGAAACAAGCAGCAGCTTGAGACGGTAGCTCTCCAAAAGGTATCATGGCTTTGTCTGATAACATGTCTCATGTGGATACAAGTGATACTCCAGCAGTTCTTTCTCATGTCAGCATTATACTGAATTTTGTGTTGATTTCAACTTGGAATCCGTTTTGTTTGCTTGTTACCAATCGGATGACTACTATTCAACCATCCACTAAAGCTTTCATGTCGTCTCTCGCACTTTCAGATCTTGGCATGGGATTATTTGAACTTTTCCCATCGATAATCTGCAGATATGTAACATGTCCTTATTCGGTTAGAGACGCAAATTTCTTTCTTTTCAACGTATTCTTAATTGAGTGCATTCTGTCACTGCTGCTACTGACCATCGACCGGTACCTTGCCATTGCCCGGTGTCTGCACTACCCACGATTGGTGACACTCCGTCGAGCAGTGATTTCTATTATTTGCAGTTGGGTGATTGCTACACTATTTTCCACTTTAGTGCACATGGTAGTGCACATATACAACCAATTTTATGCTATAACCTTTATGAGAATGGGAATGATTTTACTGGTGTTGTTTACTATTGTGATTTTATACCTACACATTTTGTTGATTGCAAGACGACAGGCTCGACGCATTGCTCAAGAAAACCAAGTGGCACCACAAAGAGTCAGCTCCAAGTCTTTCACCACTGTGGCTATAACACTGGCATTTTTGTCTGTGTGCTGGATTCCTTATCTCACATGGATATTTCTTGGAATGACAGCCACACAAGTATCTGAGAGCACCAACGGGTTTCTCTTTGTTTTTGTTATAACCACCTTCTACATGACCTTCTGGTTGGATGGAATAATCTTACACATGCGGAACAGCGAGTTCAGGAAGGTTCTCTACAAGATAGTATCTGCTGGATTCCGTAAAGTCAGACAGAGATGTAAAGGCAACCAGGCTTAATCATGTCCAACTCTTCAGAGACAATGTTTTAGATATATCATCGCGTCAGTGAAACAACATCGTTCTCCATTCTGCAACAAAGTCGTATATCGAGCGAATACACTCTGTGCAACAAGGTTGTATCTCGCATATCGTGATGTCCATTGACTTTGTGTGTACATTCCAGTTATTTCAAGCAAGATACGACATTTGACACTGAAGATCAGGTTCCACGTACATGACATCACATGCCATTTAAGGAGATACAATGTACGTCCTCGTTGCACGATATGACGATATAAGCCAGTCTGGGCAGATCAATCACCGCACTCTTTCGCAGACACTACACATAGAAGAAATACATTTTAGCTCTAGGGGCGAGATTTTTCGTCTTTCATTTATCATTTTTAAGATTTTTTTAAAAGAACTTTTTTCTTCGATGCTTTAAATTGGAACAAAATTTCACAATCGAGATGGTTTCCTTTTGAAGGAAATTATGTGAATATGCTAACATACTTCTTTGTGCTTACGTTGGAAACACTGTACCGAACTTTCATTCAAAGAAATGTTAATAACAGTTGTCATTAATGTCCATACTTATAATGTCTGATTGACAGAACTCTGCAAACAATGTTTTTCTCCTATGAAATTAAGGCTGCTTGATCTCTTAGAA